TAATCGCCTCACTCCTCGCTTCTGAGTGGTTCTGAGGTGCCTGGCCCGGCCCAGCTTTCGGGCATCCTTTGATCCATCCCAGCCTTTCACAGCATTTTTTTTTTTGCATCACACTAAGCAATGCTCAGGGGTTATACTTGGCTCAGCACTCAGGAATTACTCCTGGCTGCGCTTGGGGGACCATATGGGATGCCGGGGATCGAACCCAGGTCGTCTGCGTGCAAGGCAAACACCCTACCCGCTGTGCTATTGCTCCAGCCCCACATCAGACATTTTCTGTCTTGTTTTCTTTTTCCTTCAGCTCCTGCCCAGCTGCTTGTGTGCATGAGACTTGTGGGGCCTAATGCTGCGTTTTGTATATCTCAGTAACTCTTGAGAGCAGAGCGTGCAAAGAAGTGAAGCGAATACCTTATCACCAAAATGGAATGTGGACTGGGGGCGGGGATGGCCATGGCCAGCTCTCGGGGCTCTGGTGCGTGCACCCATGGGCTCATCCTTTTAACTTGTGGACTTGCTGTGCATTTGCAGAGGATGGAGCATCAGTTGGAGTGTGCTGGTGTGGAATCAGGGGTCTGAATGCCGCTGGGAAAAGAGGCAGTCTATTGATCATGTCTTTCTCTGCAGTTTTCTGAGCACTGAGCCTTTAATGTTTTTCCCTAAAAGTGTGTGTGTATGTGTGTGTGTGTGTGTGTGTGTGTGTGAGAGAGAGAGAGAGAGAGAGAGAGAGAGAGAGAGAGAGAGAGAGAGAGAGAGACTGACAGAGACAGGGAGAGACAGGGAGAGACTGGGACCAAAATCAAGAACCATCTGAGATGCACTGGCTGCAACTGTCTGGACATCCTGTGAGGAGCACAAGGCAGGCATTCTCTGAGCTCTAGCCAAAGGCAGGATGGAAGTTGAGGGCAGAGCCCATCATGCTTTACCTGTAGGAAGTCTGGGTTCCTTTCTTGGTACCACATGGTCCCCTGAGCACTGTCTAAAAAATACAAAAAGAAAGGAAAAATCGAGCGCTAGAAAGTTAATTCGAAGGAACGTGAGTTGGTAGAGGGCCTCAGCCAAGGTCGGTAGAAGATTCTGACTCAGGTTTAGTTAATAGGTGATAAGCAGATCCCACAGTAACTTTAAGAATCTCCACATAGAATATATCCCGAGGGAGCAAAAAAGCACAGTAGAAATGACATCTGCGCCTGTATGTTCATTGCAGCACTGAAGTTCACAGTAGCCAGAATCTGGACATAACCCAAATGCCAGAGAACAGAGACTGGCTAAAGAAACTTAGCTACGTCTACATAATGGAATACTATGCAGCTGTTACGAAAGATGAAGTTATAAAATTTGCTTCAAAGTGGATGGTCATGGAGAGTATCATGCTAAGTGAAATGAGTCGGAAAGAGAGGGACAGACATAGAATGACTGCACTCCTTTATGGAATATAAAATAACGTAATACGAGACTGACACCCAAGGGCAGTAGCCACAAGGGCCAGGATAATTGGTCCAAGGTTGGAAGCCTGCCTCATGAGCTGGGGGAGAAGGCAGCTGGAATAGAGAGAGGATCACTAAGTCATTGATGGTTGGAGGAATCGCTTGGGACGGGAGATGTGTGCTGAAAGTAGATAAAGGACCAAATGTGAGATAGCCTCTCAGTCTCTATATTGCAAACCATAATGCCCCAAAGTAGAGAGAGAATATGGGGGAAATTGTCTGCCATTGAGGCAGGGGGAGGGCTGGAAGGGGGGGATATACTGGGGACATTGGTGTGGAGAATGTGCACTGGTGCAGGGATGGGTATTCGATCATTGTATGACTGAAACTCAAGCATGAAAGTTTTGTAGCTGTATCTCACGGTGATTCAATAAAATAAATAAATATGATAAAAATAAATAAAGAGGGAAATCAGAAAAAAGAAAAAATAGTGCCCACATACGGGCAGCTGGGACCTGGGGGCTGGGGCAGGGACAGGAGCTGTCTGGAAAGTTGGTGTGTGCATATGTGTGTATTGTCTAATGTGTGTATTTTGTGTATGTGTGTAATATGTGTATTTGTATGTATGTGTTAATGTGTGTATTTGTATGTGAGTATATTTGTGTATGTGTGTAATATGTCTATTTGTGAGTGTATTTATATATGTGTGTGGTGTGTGTTTATGTTATGTGTATATTTGTGTAAATGTAATGTGTTTATGTGTGTGATGTGTCCAATGTCTTTATGTGTGTAATGCATGTACTGTGGTGGTGGTGGTGGTGGTGGTGGTGGTGGTGGCAGGAGGGTGTGCAAGGACACTGCCCCATGGCCCTGGAAGTCCCAGAGGCACCGGGCACAGAGATCCTTTCTGGCCAAAGGCCTGGGGGAAGTTTAGACAGAGAGGCAGAAGCCAGGGTTGGGGGCCAGGCTCCGCAGCCGACTTGTGACACCCCCCCACACATACACCCCTGAATCTCCAGTGCTGTCTATCTTCTTTTCTCTTCCTGCAAAGGCCACGCCTGGCAGTGTGCTAGCAGCCAGTGCTGGGGACAGGGGCCCAGACGCAGGGCCTCACACAGCAGGACACAGGCACGTCCCCGCTGATGTCGGGAAATGAAAACGAGTCTGCCTGTGTGCCTGTCTCGGGATCCCTGGAGGCTCCCACTCGGCAGGGGGAGCATCTCCAGAGCCTCGGGCCGGTTGTACAGACGGGCATGAGTGGGCATTGAGAATCCTGGAGGTGATGGCGCCTCGTTGGGGGGGTGGGGGTTCAGGCACCTCTGGCCGCAGAGACTCCCCTCCTGTCGGGGAGCAGGGTGCTCCCTGTGGGGGGGGTGGGGAATCAGAGGCTGCCTGAGAGCAGCACAGAGCCAGGAAGCTTGGGATAAGCCCAGGCAGGGCTCGAGACACAGCAAAGCAGGCTGCAGACCCGAGGGGCAACAGGGAAGCCATCTTCCCCAGGGAGCGTCTCCAGACCTGAGTCTTGGAGGAAGCGATGCTGAACTTCCCCTGCCAGGGACATGTGTCTCCCCTCTGTGCCCCTCCCTCCCACCCACCCCACCCCCCCATCCCCTACCAAAAGCCCAGACCACCCACAAGAGTGGGTGTTAGATGGAAATGAATTGTTTGGGGTCGGGTGGATGGACATACAATTTTTGGAGGGTAGCTTTGGCTTTTTTCAGACAAGAAGAGGAAAAGTCAGGAAGAATTCCGTGGCGCTGACTCGGCTTCCCTCCCTCAGTTTCCTCTCTTGAGGGCTCCCCCTTTTCTGCCCTTCTTCGCCTTGGCTCATGATGTGTCACTGATTTAAGGAGTGTTTCTTTGGGGGTTGTTGGTTTGGGCTTGGGTTTGGCGCCACACTCTGCAGTGCCCAGGGGTTACTCCTCTGCAGTTAGGGTTCACTCCTGGCAGGCTCGGGGGAACCATATGTGATTCCAGGGTTTGAAACTGGGTCGGCCTCTAGCAAGGCAAGTGCCTTATCCCTGTACTATCACTCTGGCCCAGAAGTGGATCTTTGTGACAGGCGGTGTTCACCAGGGAAGATGACCATGGCTATGACCATCTGGCACACCTATGTCTTCAGTGAGTGAGTGTTGGTCTGCAGGGCACAGCCTTGGCACCATGTCAGCCCACACACACACTGGCCTTCACCCACGTTTTGATGCCCCTGTCTTAAGAACCTGCCAGAAATGCCCAGATCCAGGGCTGCAAAGGGACACTTCCTGGCCAGGGGCTGGAGAAGTCTGAGGACGCCAACAGCCTGCACCTGGGGCGCTGGCCTTGGAGAGGGCAGCCCAGCAGTCAGCCAGTGGGAGGAACACTCCATCCTGGGTGACCCCTGGGTCTGCTGTACAGCTGCTGAAGGCCCCAGGGTCTAGTGAGGTCTTGCATGACCTTGACTTTGTTCTCGTCAACAGTCGGCTACTTCCTTGTACCATATTATCTATCCCTTGTATGATGCTTTCCTTGCTGTCGTCCAAAGCAGGGACTGCAGACGCCAGTGGCCAGGTCTGGGCCCTCCCGTCTCCATAGTCATAACTGTCAGTGCTTCTGTCACCCTTGGCCCTGCCCTTTGCTTTCCCTTGTGTATGTGTGTGTGTGTATGTGGGGGTAGGGGGAGGCATGTCCCACCTGGTGGGGCTTAGGGGACCATGCAGTGCTGGGAATTGAATCCAGGCCTTCCGCATGCAGTGCATGAGCTCAGCCCGTGAGCCATCTCCTCCAGTCCTTGGCCCTCAGCTTGTGCCGACTTCACTTCAGACTGGTCAGATTAGATGCCTTTAAAAAAAATCCCCCCAAAAGCCCCAGAGAAGTTCTTTGGGTTTGGGGTCAAGATGATACTGTCCTGGGGCTGGAGCAATAGCACAGCGGGTAGGGCGTTTGCCTTGCACGCAGCTGACCCGGGTTCGATTCCCAGCATCCCCTATGATCTCCCGAGCACCACCAGGAGTGATTCCTAAGTGCAAAGCCAGGAGTAAGCCCTGCGCATCACTGGGTGTGACCCAAAACAACAACAACAACAACAACAAAAAGATGTTACTGTCCCTCTGACACATCTGTTCCAAATCCTTCAAGTTCTTCGGGCAGAAGCTGATGATGTTGAAAAATCCCACACCTTTCCCATTAGATTTCAGAATGTAATTTCAGCTCTGTCTAAAACAGTGCTAGAAGCTGAATTTAAAAAAAAAATTGGCCAGATTCCACCCCTCCACACACATACCCCTTCCCTGCTTTCAAAGGTCCCGATTTCAGAGAAAAAAATCTGTTAAGGGAGCATTGGGAGTGGTGGATAAGTGTGGGTAAGGAGAGGAAAGAGGGGCTCCCACAAACCAGCTCGTCTCCCCTCCCCACCTCCCGCAAGCTTCCATCACCAGCAATGAACTGGGCAGGCCGGGTATCGACAGCAGGGCCGTTTGCACAGTAAAGCTTAACGGTGTACATCCCTCCTTACGGCTCTGTCGATGTTTCCCATGGATCACCTCCGAGGTGCCTCTTTTCCCCCACGTGCTAACGCTCCTCCTTCTCTTTGCCTTCCAGCGTGCAAACGCAAAGAGCAAGAACCAAACAAAGACAGGAACAATTCCCAGAAGAAATCCCGCCTGGTGTTCACCGACCTCCAGCGCCGAACACTCTTCGCCATCTTCAAGGAGAACAAGCGTCCATCCAAAGAGATGCAAATCACCATTTCCCAGCAGCTGGGCCTGGAGCTCACCACGGTCAGCAACTTCTTCATGAACGCCCGGCGCCGCAGCCTGGAGAAGTGGCAGGACGACCTGAGCACGGGCGGCTCCTCAGCCACGTCCAGCACGTGTACCAAAGCGTGACGCTCAGACTCTCCCTGGGGCACGCGGCACCTCCCCAAACGGTCGGCAGGTACCGGAAGGAAACATCGAGGGGGGAAGAGATGCCGGATACGGAGCTGGGGCCCTTCACTGGTGATCTGAAAGCACAATTCTGTTGAAAAGAAACTTCTAGCTGTAATCATAGGCCAGGTGTTCCTGTTTTCCTTTTAAATGGCTATGGAGTCCAAGTGCAAGCTGAAAACGCATCTCTCTGAACCGGACATTGTCCTCTGAGCACGCTGAGCATCCCAGAAACCCAAATGAGGCCTTCCTGGAGCAAGTTCACGTCAGCGTCGTGCCAGCCAAGCCAGTGTCAGCAGTCTCCCCCCACCCCCCCGGGGCCATTAGACTCTTGAAGTCGGGTCATGACGGGGACCTGCGCCCCTCTAAGATCACTCGAGTTTGGGCTTCCAAGATGCTACAGTAGAGAAAAATCTAGCAACAAGAATGACCTTGTTTGCTTTCCAAGTGCTTAGCCTCATATTCCACAGTCCACCCAAAGTCACAGCCATAACATTGAAAAACATCAGAAATGATAATTACTGAGCACAAGTTTAATATGGAAATTTAAAAAAAAAATCCAAGGACCTGTTTTTCCAACTCAGGCATCTTTTCATTGAATGGTTTAGAAAGCTTTAAGTTCATCCAGTTGACAATTTTCTTTTCCTTACCTCCTGGAAATCTCATGTGGTCTTGGATCCATCCAAAAAAAAAAAAAAAATCAGTTCCCTTGAGCTCAAAGTATCAAGCACAACGAAGAAAAACAGAGCAAGGAAGGAAGGTTCTGGATTTGCCACTTCTGGATTTTCAAGACGCCAATTGTGAAGTCATTAGGGAATCGATGGGGATATGGCTTCAAGCACATTTTGCAGTTTGCTACAAATTGTACATACTACAGACGCACACTCAGGAGGCCAATTTAACTGTTACGGTACATGGAGCAAATGCAGCATTTTAAAGATCTAGATTTTTTTAGATCATTAATGGATCCTTCTTGGTTATCAGTCACCTGGTTCCTTCTCTCGTGCATTACGACCACCTCATAGCTCATTCTCACTCGTTCAGTTTGGGGGTTCTTCCCATACCCATCAATCACATTGGTAGGGACGTTCTCAGTGTTTTCTAGTGAGGAAAAGAATTAATAATCCAAGATCTCAAAGCACTCTACATGTTACTCATGATTGTCATCCCTCCCAGAATCCCTTCCTTTGTTGAGTCATCCTCGTAAAACCTCTGACTAAACCTGGAGAAAACACAGCACACCAAAGAAGCAGAGTCCTGCAAACCAAAGACACTTACTACTTGCCATTTTCTAGCCTAAAAATACTGTGATTACCTTGAGGAATCAGAAACCCTCTGCAACTCCAAATGGCATTCAGCTCTTGCATTTGGCTCACCGTCTGGCTGAGCGGACCGGCCACGCCACGGACCGACGCCAAAGCCACTTGGGGAGCGGCCATGCCACGCCAGCTCTGACCCCTGGCTGCCACCTTCCCACCGCAGGCGGGAGAGTGCCCACAGAACTCTGGGAGATTGCGAAGGTCACAATGTGCATAGTTACCAGTGAATGGCCCCACATGGGCACCATGGGGGTGTTCAAAGCAAGCCAAACGCTGCAATGATTCTTTACAGACACTTGAGACTGACTTTTTTTTATGAATTACTAATCGAAACCAAAGAAAAAATTTTTTCTGCACCTACTTCTGCAGCAAACCAATTGTCCCATTAAAATGAATCAGTGGATGGATACCGATGTCAACAAGAACCACCACCGCCGAGAAGGAAGGACGCCAGCTCACAAAGCAAATCCAAACATGGGAACAGCGAGACGCACTGTGTTCAGACAGACCTCTTGGGACATCTTCTGGAAGCAGATTTGAAAAGAAAGGGTTGAGACAAGACTAGGGATAAGGAAGAGCCTCCGCGGCCGCTGCCTCACGCGGTAATCGTAAAGATTGTCTTTAATTTGTGCCTATGCAGTTTTTTCAAAAGAACACGGAACAGAGCAACAGAAACCTCAACAGCTACAATACCAAAGATGAGGATTTCTCACACCTTTTGTTTTCAGTTCATTATCTCCTCTTGCCTGGCTAAAATACTAATAGCGCCATCGATCAGTGTGAAGGTAATCAATTTTGTTTCTGAGCAACACAAGGAAAGGGTCATTTAACTTGATTTCTATTGTTTCCCTTTAATTTTGCTTTATGGCTTTCCACCCCAACTTGGAATCCCTCAAAAAGGTTCCGTGGACTCCAAGTTGAAGACGTTGGGATACTGAACGGTGGTGCTCCACAGAGCAGGGGAAATAGTACTGTCACTTGAACGTGCTTGGTCCTTAGACTGGGCTCTTTCTGTGTTCAGAGTCTCACATCAGGGGAGGGGAGGGGAGTGAGTGAGGATCAGGGGTAGGGGTCTTGGGGACACATTCTCTCCCGAGCCACAGAACCAAAGAGTTTATATAGAGGAAATGATAGCCTCGTCTTCGTATGGTTGTTCCATCCTAACAGGGCTTCATTAGTGGGTAGGGAGACACGTGTAAAAAGAATCGCCAGTTTCTACTTTTCTATTCGCTTTTTAAGAATCAGCTGTAAAGTTGCATTTCTAAAGAAAGAGAGATATATATAATATATGAATACGTATATAGATTCAGCCTGACATTGGTGATAACCCAAAATGATTGCTGTCTGAATCCATGTCTTCTTGTTTTTGTCAAGTGCTTCTTCTCCTTCTCCTTCTTCTTTTTCTCCCTTTCTCCCTCTTTTTTGTTAAGTATCCTGTTCCGAACTTTTCTCACTTCTCATGCCATTTCCGCATTCATTTGCCGCATTGCATCAGTGGGAGTTCAGATTTCTGTGGACGTTCCCGGGAAAGGTGGATAGTCATGCCAAAGGCTTTCCACGTTGAACGGGTTGATGAATGGCGCCGTGTCTAAAACGAGTTTTGTTTGTGTTTGGAATCATGTCTCATCTATGCCTCAGCAAGGATGGGGGTGGTGAGTGCAGGGCCAGCTGCCAAGACCAGTGCTTGGCTTCCAGGAAGTGCTGGGAAGGCACTGTGGGCCCTGCCCCCAGGTGATGCTATGGAGATGAGGCCAGCCCTGCTCCTCATGGGTGAGCAGGTTTCCTCAGGGTGCTAATCACCAATCTGTCAGTGTGGTCTCTGGGCTGAGTTAGTGTGGTGGGGGTCGTGGAAGGGGATGGAGTGGATTCCCAGTCCTGGGGAGGTGTCACAGAACAGCACTGGTGGGAGGGGGGTGGGAATCCCTCAGCTGGGCCCTAGGGAGAGTCATCAGTCTTGTGCCACCTCTGGGCGCATGCCCTGAAGGGTCCTCCCTCTGTGGGAGCACTGCCCTGAAGGAAAGCGCTCTCCCCATAGCCTTAGGGGCCTTCCCTTGACTTTCCCCTGCACCCCTCTGTCCCTAGACCAGAGCCCTTGTCTCCTCCATCCAGCAACCAAGGCAAAAAGCCTCTTTCAGCAGGGGAGTCTTCTCAGATGGGGAATTTGAAGTGAATTTCTACCTGGCTAGTTCCAAAGGGATCCCTGGAACTCCAGCCGATGGAAGCGGGTCTTGCCTGGAGATTCCATTGAGGAACCAGTAGGCTCCCTGTGGGCAGTGAGTCTCCCAGTAGGGTGTGAGTCTCCCAGTAGGGTGTCGGGGCTCCTCTGGAAAAGCCGAAAGGAACAGAGCTACTGTGTGGCCTGACATTTCAGTGCTGGCTCAACCAGACCTCATCCCCCAGGTGCCCTCAGTGTTCTGCTCACTGGAGGAAGATTCCAGAATGTGGTACAGGCCAAAACATCTCTTCCCACCCCAAAGACGTGGGACAAGGTCTCATACCAGATAATGTCAGATTGAAGAAAAGTGCTTCCTTTTAAAAAAAAATTATAAACACATGATATGTTGATATGTTTATGTGTCAAAATTTTAATCCTGGAGAACTTTGGTACAAATTTGGGGGAGGGGTTATTTTCCTAAATTGAACCAGTGAGTTTCCTCAAGCATTTGCAAACATTTTTAAGATTAATAACATCCAAAAAAATTAATAACGTCCGAGAAAATTACCGTTTATATTTGGTTATCTTTTAGGACTCATTTCCTCAACACCCCCCCCTAAATTCAAGCTTGCCTATCTAGCAGCAACAAAAGGGACAGTGAAGGGACAAGTGGGAACCCAATTCACATTCTTGCAAGAACAAAATCTAAATGCATTCTCTAGTGGACAATTAATTCTCTCTCTCTCCTCTCTCTCTCTCTGTTAATAGGCTTATTTTAGTTTTATCTTCATTATAATTTTGGTAGAGATACAATTCATTTCAGGATGTTTAAAAAGAGACAGTATGTCTCTTTTTTTTTTAAAGAGGAAACTAGCAACAACAATAAAAAACTCCGCCATCAGTCAAAGGCTTTTCAGCATGGGAAATGATGTTTAGACTTAGCCACACAAGGGCTCAAGGAGAGGGAACCTCGCCTGCTCAGCATGAAGGGAAATCTCTCCTGCCCCCTTCTCCCTTTCCCTCTCTTTCTCTCCCTGTCCTTCTCTCCCCCTCTCCCCTCCTTCCCTCTCTCCTTCTCTTTCTCCCTCCCTCCCTCCCTCTCTCAGTCCCTTCTCCCTCCCTCCTCTCCTCTCTCTCTCTTTCTCTCTCTCTCTCTCTCTCTCTCACACACACACACACATACACACACACACAGACATGCATACATTTTATTAAGTCAAATACGGTGTTTCAAAGTCAACTCCAGATGACCCATCATTTTCCCTTCACTCTGGAGGGTGTCTAGGACAGGGAGGGCATAACTCCTGGCTTCTGGAAACACTGATCAAAGTGTAGCCCTCTGTGGTGAACTCGATTTTAAGAGTCTACCTAGTCGTCATTTAAACTACCTGTGAAAGGAGCGGGTTGGATTCCAGTGTGGCTGAGGCACTGGGAATAGTGTTTAAAAGTGGAGGGAGGGAAAGAACTAATTAGGTGCTGTCCCGGTGGCATGTCACATCAGGTGGAGGAGGTCCTTGGAGAGATCTGCCCAGACACCCAGCAGATCCCAGCTGACTTTTTATTGTTGTTGCTGTCCTGGTGTGTGGATGGGACATGCTAGCCCAACTAGGAAGACGAGTGGAGCCTGGTACAGACGAAGGGAGAGAGCTGCCGTACTGGTCCCTTCTGGTATTGAGCTGCAAGACTGGATAGTGGGATGATTTTGTACCTAAAACTGAGAGCAGAACCCCTCTGAAACGACAGGAGGTTTCAGTTGCTGAATGAGGCCACACAATCCCCGATCCTGGCTAAAGGAATTTGGGTTCGAGTCCCAACACC